ACATTTAAAAATTCAATTATTTTACCAATCTACATTTAAAAATTTAATTATTTTACCAATCTACATTTAAAATGGCTAATCAAACACCCGAGAAAATTTCAATTATTGTTTTACCAATCTACATTTAAAACTCATTTCCAACAACAACATATAATTAATTATATTTTTACTCGAACAAAAAAAATTGTCAATTAGTTTATAAAAAACACCACAAAAACCCTAATCACCAATCTACATTTAAAATGACTAATTAAACACCCGAGAAAAATTTCAATTATTATTTTACCAATCTACATTTAAAACACATATCCAACAACATCATATAATTAATCATATTTTTAATCCAACAAAAAAAAAAATTGTCAATTAATTTAGTACATTGCCACAACAAAAACCCTAATCACCATAATCCAACAATAACATCAAATTCATAAACAATTTGGATAAATATTCAATTAACCAAATTCATAAACATATATTAAACAACATTCAAGATTTTCTAAACAATACTCATCAATTAACCAAATATATCTCTTAAACAACCAAAAATTAATATTACATTATATTAAAATAACAACTAACCTCTTCTTTGACGATTGGTTGAAAATTTCTTTATTTCCCGGGAAAAGCTTCAATTCGCCAAAAAATCGAGCAAAAAACGAGAGGAGAAATGAAATGGGAAAATTTGTTTTTTTTTTTTATTGTAGCTNCATCATATAATTAATCATATTTTTAATCCAACAAAAAAAAATAAAATTGTCAATTAATTTAGTACATTGCCACAACAAAAACCCTAATAACCATAATCCAACAATAACATCAAATTCATAAACAATTTGGATAAATATTCAATTAACCAAATTCATAAACATATATTAAACAACATTCAAGATTTTCTAAACAATACTCAATTAACCAAATATATCTCTTAAACAACCAAAAATTAATATTACATTATATTAAAATAACAACTAACCTCGAAATGAAATGGGAAAATTTGTTTTTTTTTTCTTATTGTAGCTTCAATTCGCAATAAAATCGAGCAAAAAACGAGAGGAGAAAATGAAATGGGAGAGGAGAAATGGGAGAGGAAATTGAGAATGAGCCATATTTATCAACATAAAAACGGATTTTCAAAATCCGTTTTACTCGTTTTTAAATGAAAAACGGATTTTCAAAATCCGTTTTAGTCAGTGGATGTATTATTATTATTAAATTCGACCGTTATCATA